TAGCATATATAATATTCTATATTTATATTCGTTTTATTTTATGTCATTTATATAATATTCTTTATATAATATTCTATATATGTTATATTTATATTCATTTTATTTAATGATATTTATATTATAATTGTATATACAATTATCTAATTGGATTCAAATCCATTATAGTTGTACATGTATATAGACAATTCTAATATAAATGAAGTTAAATATACATATCTAGTTAAATCTATTATTAATATCAACAAATAATTCACGTATTCAAATTTGAAATTTCTCTATCTTAAAATGCATCTTCTCCTTGAAGAAACAACAAGTAAAATGTCAAATTTATAAAGATTCCTTCAATGTATTTAAAATTAATTTCCAAAATCCCCAATAATCCATCAATGCACACACACCAATGTATATCAATCTCAAATAACTATGTTATATATTTTACATCATTGCATGAAAAATTTATGCAAAATTCGTCAATAATTTCCATATATATATATTTAGTTAAATCTATCATTAACATTAATTCTTGTATTCAAATTTGAAATTTCTCAATCTTGGACTGCATTTTCTCTCTGAAGAAACACCAAGTCAAATGCAAAGTCCTTAAAGATTCCTTTAATTCATTTAAAAACTCTTTTCCAAAATATTCACAAATACACACACCAATATATACCAATCTCAAATGATGGTATCCTGTATCCTATACCATTGCGTGAAAAATCCATGTAAAATTCGTGAAAAATTTCATGAAAATCGATATCAAAATCCCAAGTAAACAGCAAAACGTCAGAGTTCATGAAAATTCGAAATCCGACGAAAATTCAATATTTTAATCCACCATTGCTGGCAGCGTATCGTACGCGTGAAAGCAAGTGTCACCGACCACCCCATCTACTCCGTCCTAACATTCTTTATCCACGTCAATTCATCAGCGCGATCATAACAGGCGCACGCGTCGTGCTACCTAAATAACTCGTAATCGGTTTTAAACGTTCCCCGCTAATCCGCTGGATAACGAATGAATAGTAAATACGACGTCCCAGCTTCTCACACCGTTTTCTAACATTTGTCTGTTCACCGGGGGTTGAACAAGGGGAATAGCCTGTAGTGATCACAGCGCGGCGCGAGGGGTATGAAAAGTGGTCGGAGAATGCTTTAAGCTGCCGCCGAAGGGTGGCGGAATCGCACGAGCGGTACCGAGCTGAACCGAAAGCTTGGTTGCCCCTGTCAGTAGGCCTGCCGCAACGCAGCAGTGAGCGCGCCTTCTACCACGCGCGGGGACTACGCGACTCTTCCTCGGGATTGCATCGATACTCGGCATACTTTCGTCAAATATTTTCCACGCTTTTTCCCGTAACAATCGAACAATCGAAAGGTGAATTACTTCTACAGCGAGACTCGCGCGTCGCAGTGCCAACCCCCGACGTTCTGTGCACGCTTTTAACCTAATTGCACAGGTTGCTCTTGCACCAGTTCGTGGTAATCGCGGTGAATCGGGGCCGAAAACTGGGGCTGTCCGAACAAAAGGAATATAATTATATGCAATCGAGTACTCGTTCCCGAGCGGTTGTCCTCGTTCTCGCAGCCTCTCAGTGGACCTCTCGGTTTCAGAGGGTGCATAAAAATCCATCGATTGCGAGTAAGCGACCTTAAACGTCCCTATTTCCAACTGGTCCAAGTGTCACAGGCACTGTTGCGAGACTGCTCTGTCGTAAAATCGCATCGAGGAGGAAGATGGGACTGTAACAGCTAGCTCTAACAGAGGGAGTGTGTTCGCTCCTCCGGGTGGTCTCCGTGATCGTGATCGTGGCAATCGAGTGGCAGCCGGTGTCTTCTCTGTCACCAGGCGCAGGATGACTCCGATGCATCACGGTGCACCATGAAACGGCTCTGACGACAGCCGGTGCACCCTCCGGCGCAGATAACATCCGATGGACCCTAATGACACCACCGGTTCGGTGTTATCGTCAGTATCGTCGGGGCCGTCTATTTCCATCGCTTCGAACTGCGCGTGCTACGGGGGCAGGTTGGCTTGAAAAAGATCGGCGTTACGTCATTATCGGTGAGCGATGACGACAACTCGTGTGATGTGTAGCCGTGTATGAAGCTGTCGTTAATGGACCGTGGACGGAGTTCGCGATTAGCCGATCGAGTAGCCCCATTAATAACGACCAAGACGCTTCACAGGCTATACACGCAATTGCATCGAGGGGGATGACCGAGCAACTTTAAAAAAGGACGAGCACCCTCCACGAGCCGCATTCTCGTTCGGTCGTTTCGTGAATGAACTCCCTAGTATCGATGCATTTCGCTGGATGTGTGCACCCGTTTGTACCCTCGTGCTCGCGACAGTGTGTGTGTACGTGTGTATGTGTGTATACGTGATCGTTCACGGGCGCCGTAAGCTGGAACGTTGATCGACGGTTCCACCCCTATGACGAAAGTAGACATCGTCGATTAGTTTACGACGCCGACGTGGTTGGATGTTGTATTACCCGAAACGGGGTATACGTCTCGTGTCGGCAGGTTGGTGAGAGAGATTGGGGGGAGCAAGGAGGGGCAGAAATCGCGGTGTGAAGTTAGAGAGAAAAGCGAGTGTGCTGTGAAGTTCGCGCGACGGCGTGCCACGACGGATAGCTGCTGGAATCCCAGAAGACGCGGAGAATCGGTTCGGAAACGGAGTTCCAAGCCATCGGAGAACTAGATTCATTGAAACTTATCAGCTATCCCGGCCAACTTGCTATCCTGGAGTTAAGGGGAAGGATATTCGCAAGGGCTGGTCCGTTCGGCTGCACACGGTCCCAGGATGAAGGGGACGCTTTTGCTGATGAGCGTGATGCCTTGGTTTGTCGCGGCGGAAGTTTTCCTTGGCGACGTCGACGAGCCGAGTAAGTGATTGAAACTTCTGATTTCCAACCGAGCTTGCGGCAGAACGTTCAATTAAGACGTAATAGTAATTCTATTTGCGACGAAGCGGCCCTAAGCTCTGGCGTCACCAACGTCGACTGGTGACTTTGCATCGTTTTATAGACTCTCGTTGGAACGAGATAAATTTTTCGCGGAATTTTCGTACCAGTGATAATTGGACTAAGTAGGTACTTGGATATTGACTTCCGTTTGCCACAGCAGGCGAACGAATTTAATACGTGGCTGTATTTGGCTAGTTACTACTAGTTACTTTGCCTCGCCATATAGACTTTCGTCGAGATAATGGAATATCAACTTTGTGCGAAGTATTTTATTCTTTTTGGGCAATTTTCAAGTTGCAAGAAGTATGTTTTTGGGGAATTTTGAAGCTCCTGATAGGATAGAGTAGATGCTTGGACTCTAGGTTTAGTTTAGGTCTCCTGTGATACTGTTGTACATAGACGAGTTCGATAAGAGATTACAGGTGATTACATGTGACTAGTTACATTTATCCTTCATATTGAGTTTAGACAGGACTATGAAATATCAATTTTGTGCAAAGTATTTTATTCTTTTTGAGCAATTTTCAATGAAGTTTCTGATAGGATAGAGTAGATGCTTGGACTCTAGGTTTAGTTTAGGTCTCCTGTGATACTGTTGTACATAGACGAGTTCGATAAGAGATTACAGGTGATTAGATGTGACTAGTTACCTTTATCCTTCCTAGAGAGTTTCGTCAGGGCTATGAAATATCAATTTTGTGCAAAGTATTTTATTCTTTTTGAGCAATTTTCAATGAAGTTCCTGATAGGATAGAGTAGATGCTTGGACTCTAGGTTTAGTTTAGATCTCCTGTGATACTGTTGTACATAGGCGAGTTCGATAAGAGATTACAGGTGATTAGATGTGACTAGTTACTTTTATCCTTCCTAGAGAGTTTCGTCAGGGCTATGAAATATCAATTTTGTGCGAAGTATTTTATTCTTTTTGAGCAATTTTCAATGAAGTTTCTGATAGGATAGAGTAGATGCTTGAACTCTAGGTTTAGTTTAGGTCTCCTGTGATACTGTTGTACATAGGCGAGTTCGATAAGAGATTACAGGTGATTAGATGTGACTAGTTACTTTTATCCTTCCTAGAGAGTTTCGTCAGGGCTATGAAATATCAATTTTGTGCGAAGTATTTTATTCTTTTTGAGCAATTTTCAATGAAGTTTCTGATAGGATAGAGTAGATGCTTGAACTCTAGGTTTAGTTTAGGTCTCCTGTGATACTGTTGTACATAGGCGAGTTCGATAAGAGATTACAGGTGATTACATGTGACTAGTTACATTTATCCTTCATATTGAGTTCAGACAGGACTATGAAATATCAATTTTATGTGAAGTTTTTATTGAAATTTATCATAGAATAAAATAGACGTTTGAATTCTAGGCTTAATTTCGGTCTTTTGTGATACTGTTGCAGATGAGTTTAATAGATAACCGTAGTTAACTAGTTACTTTTATCTTTCCTAGAGAGTTTTGTCAGGGCAATGAAATATCAATTTTATGTGAAGTATTTTATTGAAATTTACAATAGAATAAAATAGATGCTTGGATTCTAGGTTAATCTAGGTCTTTTGTGATACTGTTACAGATGAGTTCAATAGATAACTGTAGTTAACTAGTTAATTTTATCCCTTATATAAACCATCGTCAGAGCAATGAAATATCAATTTTGTATGAAATATTCATTTTTATCGTAACCTTGGAATTTCTGGGCACCTTGGAATCTCATTTAGGGCTTTTGTGATATCGTGGGAGACAAACGAGTTCAATGTGTGATAATATTCAATTACAACTAATTACTACTAATTATTTTGCTTTATCTTATAAACATTCGTTGAGACAACGAAATATTAGTCTTTCACGAAGAAGATACATATTTCTTCTTCGAAACTTTGAAATTTCCAAGGAAACAAAGCGAAAACTTAAATGTTAGGTGTCTTTTGATACTGTGATATAGGTAACCAAAATTATTCATGGTGAAATATGCTTAACAAAAAGAACGTGAAGTTAGTTTTCGAAAATTGACTTTTCTTTCATTACCAGTACTTGCAAGAGGAATGATGATTCATAAAAGTATAACAAGTGAATAAGTGTTAAGTATGATTATTTTTAAACAATTACTATAATTAGTATTAAATAATAACAATAAAAGTAATTTCCTTTTCCTATTTAAATATTTTTGATTTATGTTGTCATTTGACAACTTACACTGCCATAAGTGAATTAGTTTGCTAATAAAAAGCAATGATAAGTTTTTTTCTTTTACTGACTGTCACTAAACTTGGCAGAGGAAAATTTTGAAGAAGGTTTTTGTCGAATTCTTCATTTCGAAGTGAATTATTCATTTCATACTTTTGAAAAATTCTGACAAATAGCGTAGCAATACGAATGAAATATTAGCATGTTACCAAATTGAACGATGTCTTTGACTCACTGAGAATATAAAGAGTACTTTTAGAAGCAATTTTAAATGAAATTTCATTTCCGTTCACTATTTTCGTTTTTATATAAATAATTCAACAAAACTCTGGGACTGCTAATATTATCGTGTAATTTCGTTATTTCTTGGCCAATATTGTTTATGATATAATAGATCTTTATCGTAGACATAAAAAATGTTATTAAATACGTATATTATTCACATGTCGTGTACTAAAACTGGCGCATATCGGGTAGACGTGAAATGAACGTTATCAAAATTATTAAGTACCCTGTAAGATTCATTATACTACCAGAGTGAACTCACATTTCTAAACTCAGCGTGTTATCGAATTATACAGAGTTTTTCGTTATATTTCGAATGAAACATTTTTACTTTCCACAAAATGGACGCAAATATTTAAACACTCTGACCTATGGTTAGTCAAATGGTCTATATTTAATTTGCATATGTAGTATTCACTAAGATTTCGTTTTAGAAAACATAGTTATAAAATCGTCCGGATGTCTCATGAGAAATGTTTAAAAAATTAAATTCGTGATGATTATTATAAATTTATCTATTGAAAAATTAATTCTCTAAATCCTGAAATAGAAACTCCATACAAATCTTTCATTAGCAGTCATATCGAAAATTGATCAATACCTATTTTTCACTCCATCACATCCCAGAAGAACAATTGCATTATACTAAACTAATTGGAAACCTACCTTAAGAAAGAAACAAAATTTGTTTGCAATAATCAAATCCAAAATCATCCAAATTGTACCAACCATTTTACGAAGCAACTCAAAACTACCGATTAAAATTGAAAACTCGCCTACTTCGACACATTTCCATCAACCACCCCTATTGATACATGATGTACTAAATCCTGACTGCACGCAAGGTTAACGTTTTCGTCAAAACTGGATCCAAAATCACCCAAATTCTTTCAAATATCTCTTCATTTCACGAAGCAATCGAAAACTATCGATTAAAATTGAAAACTCGCCTAATTAGACACATTTCCATCAACCACCCCTATTCATACCCGATTCTCTAAATCCTGGCTGTCCCTAAACGCAGGGTTAACGTTTTTCGTCAAAACCAGTTCCAAAATCACCCAAATTCTTCCAACCATCTCTACATCTGACGAAGCAATTGAAAACTACCTATTAAAATTGAAAACTCGCCTAACCAGACACATTTCCATCAACCATCCCTATTCATACACGATGCACTAAATCCTGACTGTGCCTAAATACAGGATGCACAGTTTTCGTCAAAACCAGTTCCAAAATCACCCAAATTCCTCCAACCATCTTCTCATCTCACGAAGCAATCGAGAACTACCGATTAAAATTGAAAACTCGCCTAATTAGACACATTTCCATCAACCACCCCTATTCATACCTGATCCTCTGAATCCTGACTGCGCCTAAACGCAGGGTTAACGTGTTCCGTCAAAACGTAACTGGAAACGGCGTGATCGTTGCAATTACGCCTGCAATTAATGCCGAAAGACAACTGGCCGCGGTGTCAGTCATCCGTAATGACGCTGTCGGCAGGCTCATAATCGTTATGAAGCATTTATGGCTCGTGATGAGGCCTGCGCGCGTGCACGACCGGCGACAGCGACGGGGTTGGGCGTAGAAGGGTGGAAAAAAGGACAGGAGGGCGCGTTAATTTCAATGTGTTCCATGGTTTCGGACGATATACGTGGACAGTGTGGAGAATTCGGCTGTCAATAGTTGTTTTGCGGCCGGCACAGCCTCGGTTTCCGTGCTCTACGACATCGGACGGCACCGCAACCCGTTTATTTAATCGATGCATTATGCAAATTGACATAACGGCTCCACTTCGGATGCAGTAATCGACCACCATCTCTCGACTGATTCACAATGGGACAATGTGTACGTTGAATAATTGGCAGTAGCGTGCTGTGGCTTCGAAATCAAAGCTACTGAACTTGCCGTTCGTACCTCAGCACCCGATGGACACCCTCTGTCGTAGTTACAGGTCCTACTTCAGCCACGCTTTGGAAGCCGAGTTGTTTGGAATGTTCCTTTCTTGGGAATCTAGTCGAGGATGCTTCGGTTGTTTAATTAGTCGTTGCAAATGCGAGACCGAGGTGGGATTATGTTTGTGGAGGATAAAAGAATTTTGGGAAATCGGTTGTGATTGTGCCAGATGTTTGGAGATGGAATGTGCGAGGGTTTAAAGAAGATTAGAGTTCGTGGAATTGAATTGATAATTACGTACGTTATTAGGTGGGAAAATTGTGGAATTATGTATTTGCAATGTTATTATTTTTCGATTGTTATATGGGGTACATGATGTTGGTGGTGGATGAATTATTAATAACAATAAAAACAATTCTCTATTTAGTTACAAAGATTATCAAACGCAAATATTTAGTTTAAATATAATTAATTTATCACAATCACGTGTTCACACTTCTTCTTGCTATTAAAGCTCAATTGTAATTGACCTATGACAAATCACTTTCA